AGCAGAGAGGGGCCGGGGGCGGCGGGCCAGGTCTGCGGGAGAACTCTCCGTCCTCCCCGTCGTTTTCCAGCCGGGCAAAACTCCTCCGAGTTTTTCTTGGCAGTGAAAGGGCTGTCCAGGGTTCCTGCCTTCGTGTTGTCGGCTTTCCTTAGCAACTCGGCTTTTTTTTCTTTTTTTCCGTGTTGTTAGTGTTGTTGTTGACGGGTGATATTGTCGGTCCTGCTGTTTCAATGGGCTTTCCAGCGCGCTCCTCTTTCCGCCTGGTACTTTTCTTTACCGCCGAGCAATAAACAGGTTCCGTCCGAAAGGCCAAAGTCTCGGTACCTGTGGCGCCAGTTTATTTCGAGGCATTTTCCCTAAGCCTTAAAAATGGGCCGTTCTGTTATCTGAACTTTTCATACTCTGATTATGGCGAGTATCATAGATGGGATTTGCATTAAGCGGAGGAGGGTATCTACATCCCATTATACGCATCGGAGCAGAAAGGCATACTGGCGTTAACTTTAAAACAAATTGAAATCACCCAGACTATCCTCCGGCTTCTTTCCCTCTTTTCTTTAGAACGTAATAGTTAGAAAGTGAGGCATATTTTTTTAAAGTAACTATTTTTATCTTCAGTGTCGTTTAAACGTTTTCGTTGCTGGCATCTCCAAAGTTCTCAGCGGCGGTACGCCATAGGTTCCATTTCATTTTCTAAATGTCCCTCTCTTCTCTCTCCCCGACACATAAAAGTGTGAATATTTATAACTGGGTGAATGCAAGGCATAACTTGTTAGGGTTTTTAATACATATATGTAGGCAAGGAGGTAGGCACGCTGTTGAACAAGGTTCAGCATCTGAAAACAGATAATTTTGCTGCTGCAAACATTTCCTACGAAGTCACTTTTACAGCATGTATTTCCTACTTTTTTCTTCCTCCTTTTTTTTTTTCCTCTTTAACCTTGATTTTGGAAATGTAGTAGAATTTGAGACGGAAGCAATGAGTGATTTACAAGTGGCTTCTTCAAAAGAATTCCCAACAGAGATTACACAAAAATATCATTTCAGCAACAATAACAAAAGACAGCGAAATAAAGGGAGTGTAGAAAGCCCACCTTGTAACACATTAAAAAAATTACGCCGGACTACTCCTTGTGTATAAGCAGTGTCTCTGAAATTAAAATATATGACTGTTTTTAATTGTTTGACAAAGTTAAATTAGTTTCTTCGCAGACATTATTGAAGAGGTCCATTTTTAAGGCTGACATAAATTACGACAGAGTAATACTAAGAATGTATTTCTGGACTATGAAAAAAAGCGACATTGCAATAGAAGCAATGAAGAAAGAAAACTGCTTGAAATGTTAGCTATTTTGGAACAGTTCCCATTCCTACTCTCAAAGTATCCTGGTATTTTATTACAGTGATTTACCATGACGGTGATATTTTGAAATAAATTCTGAATTTCTGAAAAATTTTAAACCAAGAGCTAAAATATTAGGTTAATATCTGGACAATTTGCGGTAATAATGAGGCCTAATGAGGTTGCTAGAAAGATAAAATGTTATTTACCAAAACACCTGATGGGATAATTTGACTTGCTGTGTTTTACTACTGATGATAAAAAGAATATTGATTGCAAATAAATCACCGTCTCTAAACGCTTGTAAACAATTTGCGTTTGCTCTGGCCAGATCAAAGTAAAACTTATGAGATAAAGTGTCTACATATCCGTATTCTACAATGCATGGATCACTTTTCATTCCAGAGTTTAAAGGCTCTTCGAACAGTTAGAAGTTAATGTTTTACTCCAGAATCCTGGTGTATGATCTGGGGAGCGGGGGTGGTGGTGTTGGCTTGTGTGTGGAAAATCTTTTATGTTATTATTGTCTTTGTACTGAAGTTGTGCATTCATGTCCCCAGTCTCGCCTCACAAGGGGCAAAAATGAAGAATGCTGTGCATGCATTTGTAGCATCCTCCTGAATACTTTGCAGATAAATCCGACGCTGTGCACGGGCATTAGTTTGTAAGTGCGGTGTAGTACCAGTTTTATCGGTCTGATAATTTCAAGGGCACAGTAAATTGTCTCGCCGAGGCGAAGTTGCTGCATTTCCATCGTTTGATTTGACTTGATTTTCGGAGAAACTGCACGATGTCTGTCAGAGCTCCGCTTAGCATCTCTCTTTCCTTTTTCTGCAAGGAAGGGGAATCATTTGGGAACAGTCTCTGACCTAAACGTGAAGAGCCTGGAGCGGGGAGGGCCGAATTTGGCTGTGAAGACCTTTTGCACCGCTGAAAGGCGTATTCCGGCTCCCGGAGTAGCCTATTCAGGTCTGTTAGAGACGCTAACGAGATAATTGATGTGCTTTTTCCTCTCCGCTTGTCTGAATGTGTTGCAGGGCTCCCAGTACGAGCTGAAAGATAATCCGGGTGTCCACCCTGCTACTTTTGCTGCCCACACTGCCCCCGGCTATTATCCCTATGGACAGTTCCAATACGGGGACCCGGGACGGCCCAAAAATGCCACTCGGGAGAGCACCAGCACCCTCAAGGCCTGGCTCAACGAGCACCGCAAGAACCCTTACCCCACCAAGGGCGAGAAGATCATGCTGGCCATCATCACCAAGATGACCCTCACCCAGGTCTCCACCTGGTTTGCCAACGCCCGCCGGAGGCTCAAGAAGGAGAACAAGGTGACCTGGGGCTCCAGGAGTAAGGACCAAGAAGATGCAAACCTCTTCGGGAGTGACAATGAGGGGGACCCCGAGAAGAACGAAGATGATGAGGAAATTGACCTGGAGAGCATAGATATAGATAAAATCGATGAGAACGATGGGGAGCAGAGCAATGAGGAAGAGGAGGAGAAGCCTGAGCTCCTGAGACAAAGCAGTGAAGAGGAGCACTTGGAAAAGGAAAAGGATTTGGCACTGTCAGGGTCTGAAGGGCTGAAACCCAAAGATGCACTGGCCATGGTGAAGGAAGCCTCTGACAACAGCACCAGAATTATCAGTCCCGGGGGACCGAACAATTTACAGATGCCATCTCACAGCAAACCCAAGATTTGGTCTTTGGCAGAGACAGCAACCAGTCCTGATGGTGCCCTGAAATCTTCTCCTCCTCCACCCCCTCCTCCCCAGGTTAACCACACTTCTCCTCAGATCCAGCACCCTGCTTTTCTCCCTAGCCATGGACTCTACACATGTCAGATTGGCAAATTTCACAACTGGACAAATGGGGCGTTCCTCACTCAGAGTTCCCTGCTAAACGTGAGGTCTTTTTTGGGAGTAAATCACCACCATGCTGCTCATCACAATCACCACCTCCAGGCCCAGCAACCATCTTCTGTTTTAACAGCAACCCTGGGAGCTCTAAGCAGTGAAAAACCTTCAGAGAGGACCAGTCCCAAACACATAGGTAATTAATGCATCAGGCATTCACCTCTCCCCCCACCCCCAACATATGTATATGAACTTCTTGGGAAATGGTGTCACATTTAGCCCTGGTGTAATTGATTGCTTTTAACTGAGTTACAGTTTACTCTAGTGTTGATTTCTGGCCCCCCTCCCAAGCATGTTGATTGCATATATTAAGCTCATTTCATGTAGCCTATTACATTCCCAATCTATACACCCATCAAGTCAAATGAGAGTGCAGGAATAGCACTGTGAAATGTATAGTTTTGAGTTTGCTTTACTTCCCTCCTTCATGACCCTCATCACCCAGCAATTTCAGTGACACTAAAAATGTGTCAAGAAAAGCTTGCAGACTCCTTAAATACTGAAAGTAGGGAATAGTGCTGTACACACATGCACACACATATGTCTCAACAGGAGAGTGAGAGGGACACTCTGCACACTGTCCAGATTCTTATTGTTGTTATTCTAAAATGGTTCTCTTGTTTTGTTTTGTTTTTCTTTTTCTCTCTCCTTTTTCTCCCCCTGTCTCCTTCTAGAAAGAGAAAATGTACCAAGAACTGACTCCCCACCCCAGCCGCTAAAATCGCCCTTCCAGCCCGTCCGTGACAAGTGAGTTTGTTTGTTTGTTTTCACTGCAGGAATGTTACTTATGCGAAACAGTGTTTGAATAATAAAGACTAATTATAACACCTAATCATCACCATAATAATACATACAGACAATAAAAACAGCACAGGAGTGGCTGTAATCTTTTCAAACTTAGACTAAATTGCAATTGTACATAGCCAGACTGTAACTTTTCTAAAACTTAACAGACCTCAAAGATCTTGTGTTAATTACACCAGTCAGAATGATTTTTTTTGGAATTATCTAACACTAGGATGCTATAGGAATAGACGGGCAATTAAAAAAAAAAAAAAGATATTTTTTTTCTGAAAGATTGTTACGTCTTTTTTTTTTCCCTCCCTTCCCCCCTGCAGCTCTTTGGCTCAGCAAGAGGGAACACCGAGAATTTTAACAGCTCTCCCTTCTGCTTGATTAAATGATTTGGTGAAAAAATATTACAGAGACTGGTATTAAGGACAGAGAAAAAAAAAGGAAACGGTATAAACGACTCCCATCAATCTCTTTTTGCAATAAGGTGGTGCAAATCCATAAAAGTGATTACACAAATCTGTAGATGGATCCCCTTCCTCATTGTACCATTTCAGATCGTGTTATTCTAACCATTCTTGGATTATTGGTTTCGTAAATGTTTCCCATGTGTTTGTGGGGGTTTTTTGTTTGTTTTTGGTTTTGTTTTTGGTTTTTTTTTTCTGTATATAGAGTGATTTCAGATTGTAAATAACACGTCAGCAAAACTTGTCTAAATCATATATTTTTGTCTAATAAACTAAATGAAATTATGAACTTTCTTCAGGTATGTATTCTGTTGCTGCAGATCTTATACATATATTACAAATCTATTCAAACATTTATAATTTGTTTCCTAAAAAGTCAAGTCTCTTTGCCTTTGGGTAACTGAAACTTAAAACAGCAAATCCCAGCTTTTAGTGACTCTTAGAGCTATTTTGCCGAACACAAGCTGCGAGCTTCCTTTTTCATGCACGCAAATTTAAGAAGTTGAGTGAAGCTGGTTCTTGGCTAGTAAAATTAAAGTTATTTTTTTCTATTGTGATGAACGAGATGTGTTGTGTAGTATCCATTTTCCGGACATAAATGGGCCTGACTCTTACTTATGTTATAAAATACATTCTTAAAATGAAAGGGACAATTTTTCTCATAGTTCCTTAGTTTGCTGTCCAAACTGGTTCCGAATTTGGGTCAAGAGCTTTACCGCTGTGGTATACATTCCTACCGAAGACGAAAAAAATCATAGTTTAGGAAAAAGAATTATTTGTAACGATTTGCTCTTTAAATAAACACAGAGGAAATATGACTGTAAAAGATGTTTTCCTGTGAGACTAAACACAATCTTAGCATTTAGAAGAAAAAAAAAAAAAGGCAGCTCTTACACGTCTCAAAAGAAAGTTCTGCGATTCCGATCTGTTGGTTAAAAATAGAGACAGGATCTATCGTTTTATAAAGGCATTAATCTTCCAAAGATGGTCCGTTAAAATGTGTAATATTTTGAGTGTTTACTTCTTTTTTTTCTCCTAAATGAGAACATTAAATGAGCATTGAGGTGCTAATAAGATACCAGATGGTTGTTGATGGTGGAAAATGGAAAGAAGCAGCTGGGAAAGTCATTAAGAAATAATGCGGTGACGCCCTATCCAAACTGAACCAACCTCAAACCAGGACTTGTCGGAAGCAAGATGAGATTTTTCAAATAAAATATTAATTAAATTCTTGTGAGAGATCAGAATATTGATCTTGATTTAGCTGCAAAATCATCTCAATCAAAGAGCAGTCTCGGTAAACTATGGCTTAGAGATCTGTTGACAAAGTGGTGGAAGCGGTGGACTCCTACTTTTTGAGCTTTTTTCATGGAGCAAACAGGTCAGGCAAAATAGATTTTGTGAAGGATATCTGAAGGGGAGTTTCTAAAAAGAGACTCATTTTGATATCCTGCCGTTTCCAGCATACCATCAATTAGTTATTAGTTTTTTTCTGGCCTTTGGTTGTTTGGGTTTTGTTTCCCCTTTTCCTAAGTCACGGATAGTCTCGTGGTAGTAGTTGTTGGTAACTGTTCCAACAAAAGAGAGTATTACACTTTTTACCAAACCAGAATAATTTAGCCTTCAGGGAAAGGGAAGTCGTATTTAAAAAATAAAAAAAAAAAAAAAAAAAAAAAAAGGAAGAAGAAAATCTTCACGCCTGTAGAGCCAAACAGTGGGTCAGGTGTAAACCTGATGCAATTGCTGTCTCTCTCATATCAATTCAGATGAAATCGTCGCAGTCCTGCACTGGTTGCCCCTCGTCCCTGCTCAGGGCCGGTTCCCCAGTTCCTCTCGGGAGGCGCGGCCGGCCCCAAGCAACCCGGCGGTCCGGAGTGACGCCACCGCCGGGGACAGATCCCGACCCCAGCCCCGCTCCGCCGCGCGTTTGGCTGTCATGGACTGGCTCCGCTCCTCCAAGGTGAAGACGGCATCTAAAAGGCGCGCAGAGATGCTCTGCGAGGCGGAGCGAGCGCGGCGGTATCGAACTGGCCTGGGGGAGCGGAGCGAGAACTACATCGTGGCATAGGAGTGTCAGGGGGGACTTGAACTGTAGGCAGCAGAGGAGCGTGGGCGTGTGAGCCTCGTCTGTGTGGGGGCATTCCCGCTCCCTGACCGCCCCCGCCAAGCCGAGCGGTTCCGAGCGGTGCTGAGCCGAGCCCAGCGGGGCGCAGGCCGGGCTTTGGGCGGGCTCGCAGCGCCCTCTGTGCTTGCGGCGGCGCCGTTCCCCTCGCCCGGCGCGACGGCCAGCCATGTGCCGGCCCGCGAACTCTGCCCTCAGCTGGGCTGGAGGGGGGGAGGCTGCCCGCCTTGAATCCAGCCAGGAAGCCAGCAACATCCTCCGGAGTGTGCTTCCAGTTTTGATTATCCTCCGGAGAGTGATAATTCCCAGTAGTTATCTGGTTGGCAGGTTTCCGCCTTTGGAAGCCTCAGCATCTCTAGACCTGAGTCTGCTGCAGAACTGGATTTTTTTTTTTTCTCATTTGCTTATTTGAATTTCGCACTACCTTCCCCCTCTCCCTCCCCGTAACTCTGACAATTGTGACGCTTCCTTCCCAACCCAGATATTATCGGGAGGGGGGGGCGGTGAATGAAGTCCAGCTAGGTTAGCACCGTTCACCGCCTCTCCCCACCGCTCCCGGAGCGTTTGCCGGGGGAAAGCACCCGGTTCCTAGCTCTCCCCTGGCTGGCAAAGGCGGAGGCGGCCTGGGAGCGGAATGCTGGCTGCGAGAGGAGCGCGCCCAGGGCTACGTGCTGCCTGCTCGAACGGAGCTTGCTTGCGGCGCTCCGAAAGTTTTTGGACAGGAGCTCAGGTGGCTTCCCCTCAGAAAAGGGAAAACCGAAAAGTCATAAGGTCTGCTGAGAAGCCCCCTGTTAAGTGAGAAAAGCTCTGGCATGGCTGCGTGCCTCAGTGCCCAGTAGATCCGCAGCTTCTGAGGGCCGCTGCCTCAGCATAGTCAGCACCTGGGGGAGAGGGGTGATCGCGTTTCCCTTCCCCCGCAGGCCACAGCGAGGTGGCCATTTCTCCTGCAGGAAGTTTCAGATAGAGCGGACATGTGCGACCGGTCATTGCGTTACTGCACCCTTGGAGGCTGCTGGGGTGCGGTGCAGAGCCCGGGCCGGGCGGGACTTCTACACACCGCCCCCGCCCCGGTTTTTAGGAAGGAGCGGGGACTTCATAATCCCGAGCTTTCGCTTGTCACGTGAATCGTGCTAGGAATGACCGTTTACGTCACCCTAGAAGGAAAATAATTTGTAGTTTTTCTGTCATAATTTCCTTGAGATCCACCCCGGCAGTTGTATACCAACAAATACCAGAGCGAAGGGAGAATACCAAAGAAGCTTAAGCTAAACGATTTGCCTTAATTGGGAATGCTTCGAGCTGATAAGAGTAAATTGGAAAGTATTACTTTCCAAGATTTTTTTTTTTTTTCAATGATGACCGTACCCGAACCTGATAAACCAAGTCAATAAGAAAATTTCCATTGTATCGGATGGGAACTACAAGGAGCAATACTTTTTTCAGCACAACAACCTAGCTCCAAGATACATTTTCGTGCTACTTAAAAGGCTGCCAGAAAAAATTGTTTTATACGTTTTCATAATCCTCCATCCTACTCAGTAAAAAAATTATCTCACTGTCTTATTTCTGTTATTATTTACTTAGCATTAACAGAAGAATGGCAGAAATCTGTGAAGAAAGAACACTGAAAAGTTGATATAATCTCGAGTTCAGCAAACTCCGAAATTCGCAGTTGCCAGAACACACTAAAAGCAAACGGCAGCTTTGCGGGGATTTGGCTTTGTCGCAGAGATGTAGTTATGAAACGTGCTCATTGGTATGCGTGCCTCATTTTTTATTCTTTTTCTGTTTTATTCTGAAAAAGAACTCCATTTTTAACTAGGAAAAAAAAAAAGAGAGAGAGAGAGAAAAGAAGAAAGCAGAGAAAGGGAAGGAGAAAATTAGTGGAGTGCATGTTCTCAAACTGGCTCGTTCGTATGGTTGTTATCGTTCTCGGCTCCTGTCATCTCTTTTTGCTGCTTTGGTTGAGGTTTTGACGTGTTCGCTCGGAAACTGGAGCGGCCCCGAATTCACCGCCGGCAGCAGCGACTGGCCGGAGCTGGGGCAAGGGCACGGTGCGGGATGAGGCTCCCCCCCCGCCGGGGCGCGCACCAGCCCCTCGTCGCGGGGCTCGTTCGATCTCTCGGTAAAACTTTGCGATGATATGACTATGTTTTCCCCACCCACCCCCACCCCTTCTTTTTTTCTTTCTTTTTTTTTTTTTTTTTTCCATGGGCGCCGATCAATTATTCACAAGCACATTTATCTCCCCTGCAATATGGAGAATTCATATTCATATCTCTGTTTTAGTGGCCTGACACTGATTAATGTAATATGCGCCGCGGCTCCGAGCGCAGCCCCGCTCTATGAATCATGCACTATAAAGTTTCAATCGTCCTTGTAGATGAGACTATTACAAAGAGCGCTGAGCGGCGGGGGCGGGGAGGCGGGGGCTGGCGGCAGCGATGGCTCTGCGCCTCGGCCGGCCACCGGCCCCCTGTTAAACAGGCTCGTATTGAAACTACCCGGCGGCGGCGGGGGACATGTGGGTCCGGCATTAGTTCCGCCCGGCGGGGCTCCCGCTGACGCGGGTCCCCTGCTCCGCCCGCCCGCGCCCACCGCCGCCCGGCCTCGGAGAAGGGACTGCGGGGCTCTCGCCCCGTCCCCGTCGGCCAGGCAGTGGCGGGAAGAGCCGCGCTGGGCCGCTTGGCTTCGGAGGAGAGGTGGCGCTGCCCGGTGGCACCCTGAGGAACGGTATCCTGAGGCAAGGAATGGGGCTCAGGCTTGCCCCGGGTGTGCTGAGGCTGGGCACCCGCACTATGGCTGGGGAGGGAAGGCATTGAAGGAAGTCTCCATTGCCTGGCTAGTTTCAGTGCTGTTAGGTTATTTTTGTTTATTTTTAATTTATATTTTTTTAATTTCTGAATGTCCTTAAAAGGAGAGATGTAAAGAGTAGCCAGGGCTGACAGAGGCACACAAGCAGCGCAGGGGAAGGGCAGGTGGGTAGTAAGTGCTTTGTGAAAGGGAGAGTGAAACAGTACACATCCTCTACTCCCCTGCTGCTGCCTCAATTTGGGGATGAGGCCCCCCACCACATTGGTGTCCACCCTCCACCTAAGCCCTGTGTTTGGTGCTGCACGCCTGCAGGCTTGCAGGTGCATGGAGGGGAGCCACCTCCAGCCCCAAAACCCAGCTGCCCACCATAGGTCAGGAACCCATGGCCGAAAT